AATTGAAATCACCAGAAAAAACTGCAGAAGTCTGTGTAGTTTGATAGATCAGGGAAGAAATAAATGAAAAATGTTTAAGAAGAGTCTGTCCCCTTAAAAGCCAATTCCAGCGATTTTTCGACTATGTCGAAGTAGTGCTCTTATGTTCCCCAGACGCTCCTGTCACAGCCTGATAGCAGAAATACCAAAATAGCAAAGTTAGAAATAATTTAAATTAAGAAAAGAAGTGCGACACCAATCGAAACCCAACCACAGTACTATCTTTGTGTGACGCCAGCGTTGGTAAAAACGATGCAAACCGGAAGCCGTGCAAGGCATGCCAGTCTCGCCAGCGCAGAGTATGAAAACTGCCACCGAAAGCGGCAGTTTCCGGATGCTCAGGGGAAAGCAGACGAAGCAGGGCAAAGCAAGAGAAGAGCAGACGCGCTCAAGGGAAAGGCGACCCCACCGCAACAGCCGCACCCTGTTTGTTACTGACTGTGTTATGTGCACAATCTGGAGCTTTCGAAAAATGACAGCTGCCATTCGGACGCTTGTGGAGGCCAAGTAAAATAGCCGAAGAGGAATGGCAATTGCTGGTTCTGCATTCCACTGTCAGATGGCACCACCTGTCTAGGCCGCTCAATTATGTGGGGCAATAATTGGTAAAATGCTATCGCTGAAAACTTTGCGGACTGACTGAAGCTTCTTAATATTGCTATAAAAAGAGTGCATATGTCTGGCAATATCCGAGTTTAAAATTGCGCTGGCAGGGCCGAGAAAAAATAATTTAGGCCAAGTGCGTGCCCTCTTTCGCATGACGCTCTAGGCCCGGTCACAGAGCCCCTCGTATATATTATAAAAAGCGTTTCCACGCGGTAATGTGCTCACTTAGTACACTACCGTAATGTTCATGCCTCTCCTGCCACTACGGTATTAACACAGTTTCCGTCAAGTGAGCCAGCACTGCTAGCTAAAACAATATATTAATATCGAGACGAAGGGTAATCAACACCTCCGAGTGTTCCCTGAATGTTCAGGTAATTATACGGGGAATCGTGTGCAACCACAATGCAACACCCCTTGCCACCCATGGCAAGCAAGTCAACAACGAACTGAAATTAACGCCACGAACCAACGAAACGTTGGCTAAGCAACACACGTGATCAGAACAGCAGACGATGTAATGGCGCCTCAATTCCGTCACTTCCGTCGCTTTGGCGTAAGTGTTGGTACACACGTAGAATGTTGCCAATAATTGTTGGAAGCCACTTGGGAGAGTTGGGGCAGTCTATAAAATTCATTTGTAAAAAAATCTGCATATCTTTTCTGCCTGTAATTGGGGACGAATGATTGAAACGTGCAAATAAACATACCAGCGAATTTCATAGATATCTATTGACCTCGAAAAATCACAGGAGTTGGCCTTTAAGCAGCATTCTGCACTGGTTAGAACAAGGCCAAGAAATTTTGGAAATTTTGGACCTGTTTCCGGATTCGGTCTGGAGAGAAGTTCCTGGTGGCTGGCTGCTGTTCCTGCCTCAGCACTGTTCGTGGTGCCCTTCATGACACTATTGCATCATGGCTCCTGGTACGAGTCCCTGGCACTCATACGCTAGTTCAGGCAACACCCCAGTACTGACTCGGGGAAGCATGATGTGCCCCGCATCTTGACGTCTAGAGTTCCCCGGGTTGACCAGACCGATTGACCCACCAAGACAGCGCGTTGTGAGTGAACAAACCTTAACCTTAGCCCCCGGCATAAGCCCTTCAATGCGTATAATATATGTGTGTTCAAGTAGTGTAGTCCAGTTTCTGTGGATATGTAAAGTGGTGTCTCTTTGTCTTTGGGTGTTCTCTGTGCACGTCTGGCTAGCCTGCGTCCACATTTGCGCAGTCATCCTCTCTAGCGCCATCTAGTGTGTTGTCCTTCTCCGCTACTTTGTGAACATTGCTTGTGCTGGCGGGTCCAGGCTCCGCATAGCCTGTCGCTATTGCACATTGTAGCCGAGTGCCATTTAACAATAAACTTCTTTACATTAGAAATATTTGGTCTAGCTGGGTTTTTCTTGTATTAGGTGGCGTTCAAGAGTTTTCGCAATTGACTTTTTAAAGTGCTACATAAACAAACGTCGGCATGAGTCTTTTAAACTTTCTTTTAAACTTTCTTTTTATGCACTGCTTAATAGACGAATAAAAAGAGATAAAACAACAAAATATTTTGGTGAGATGTACACACAATTTAAACCAAGACAACATAAACCATAGGAAAAACATAAACCAAGAAGGAAAACTGACAAATGGGGAAGTGAAATGAACGATACAATGAGGCCCGAGAAAGGTAGTGTAAACAAAGGAAGAACCAGTACTATGCACTGGTGTTCTATTTCCTTGCACCTGAACTCCTCAATTGACAGCAAGCCCGTCGAAAATTCCTCTGGCACGATACACGCACTCTTATCCCACTGTGTGTCTGATACCTCTCCCTTCTCCTTACACTTGGGAGGCTTCAGGCAGGGATAGCTCTAACATTGGTTGGGAAGGTAGATGCTTACGCGAACTTGCGCTTAACTTGCGGTGGGGACAATCGTACACCTTGGGCTTTCACCAGAACAATTCTGTTGTAGTTACCAGGTGCACACAGGTCACTGCACTTGCTGCACAGTCTCCGTTTGCGAAAAGGGTGCACTTTTTAGACACAGCGAAGTAACAACTGAGACAGTTATTAGCGTTCATCTGTGCGTGTGAGTATGTTTCGTGCATTATTTGTGCGTGAGTAATGCAGGGCACTTTTCGATCTGCTTGCCATTTGTCGCGTGACATTCTAATTCGTTGCTATAGCATTCATTGCTTCATTTTTGCGGCAAAGCTGTGACTTTTTTGTGTTAGCCATCACGCTTCACCTGTTGCTTTTGTTTTCGTTGAGCAGCTTTACCTGCGTGCTTGTTAGACGGCTGTTTTCTAGCCTTGAGGTTGGTAATTGAATATTCAGGATGAACTCCAGAAGTAGTACAAAAGGAATGCTACAACAATGAAAAATGTGACGCAAGTGACCGATAGGATTAAGTCACCAATGATTACCCATGTATGCTTCACTAACGCTCGAACACTACTTATAGTGCTTCGAAACATGTATGTGAGCTGAGCTGAAGACCAATAAGATCCATACCATTAGTCGCCGTAAGGAAACGGCGATGAGAGCGAAGTCGACATTATAACAGCGCACGTGAGCCGACGTGAAGAATCGGTATTGTACACCAATGCTTCGCTGAGCATCAGAGGGATGCGCACGCTAAAGAGTTCGTCTTTCAGCAGTCGAGCTGCCCCCCCACATCAGGATAGATCGTGCTCTTCCTCAAATAAGCGTGCACTGTTTGCATAATATTTAGTGTTTTTTTCCTTTCATTTATTAAGGTATAACGTGGTCGCGAATGTATACATGGCACAAGTAGGTGACTCACGTGGTTGCATTTACAATTATTGCACAAATGTTTAATAGTTTCACTACAACGACTTTTCGAAATAACGAATGACTTTTTGAGGTTCCTTGAGATTCGCTGTATTGAGATTTCACTGTACTATGCGTCAAGGGCAAGTCTAAACAGTTGAGCCCTATTGTAAGAGACACGCACTGGGGAGCACTTCTCGTCTTTTATATGAGTTATCTTTTATAAACAGATTACCACGCATGCATTTCCTAAAGAACTCTTATTTTAATGTAAGCACACTGGTCTCTCTTACATCCAATGGTCTGATACATCAGTCTTTAATAAAAAGGGTCTAACTGTATTAAAGCAAAAACAAATCTTGTACCATTAAAACTAGATGTATTGATAAAATAAAGAGCAGTATATGGAATTATTGTCTATTCACGATTCCAGCAATTCATGCGGCACCTAGCGGCAATATAGGAAAGCAGCGAACTGAGGTCCAAACAGCCCAAGCACCACTCATATACAGTAGGAGCACGGTAGGATGGTGCCGCCCGTGAAGAAAAAACGAATGGCCAAGCAGATTTCTTCTTTCAAGGTGAGGCACTAGTGTTAACTTGTTAACTCGAACCTATTAAATGACCATTGTATTCAGTGACTACATGTCGCTGCGGCGCCCGAAGTATGTAAACGAATTTCGCAGAGACGCGGTGCGCCATGTGCATTACACGCACAACGCGACCACTTCAAGAACGCTGCTCGCGCTTGCAGGACCACTGGTGCCGACTAAAATAAGATGCTCCGCGTCAACAACGTGCTCCCCTTCTACAAAGCAGCATGAACTGCAATCACACTGCAGAAAACTCAATATTTGTGTTAGCAACAGCGGACGCAGTGACATCCATGAATCCACCATGCTGCAACTCCGCAGCGCCCTCTCATGTTCATTTGAATGGCGAATACAGAACAGCAGTAAAACAGTTGAGCCCTATTGTAAGAGACACGCACTGGGGAGCACTTGTCTTTCATATGAGGTATCCCTTGTCAGCAGGTTACCACGCGTGCATTTTCTAAATAACTCTTATTTTAATGTAAGCACACTGGTGTCTCTTACATCCAGTCGTCTGTTACATCAGGGTCTTTATTAAAAGGGGTCTATAACTGCATTAAAGAAAAAAAGTTTTGTACCACTAAATCTCAATGCATCGATATAATGAAGAGCAGTATATGAAATTATTGTCTATACAGAACAGCTGTAATACACTTTGGGACTTAGAGAGATATCCTCGACACCACCGTATCAATGCTACACCCCTGTAAGTGAACTTCTCCAAACTGTAGCGCTATCATCAATACATTAAAAACAGTTGTGTAGACAAAATAGCATAGTTTTTCAAATGCTGCCTAACAAGGCCTAGAATACGAGAGAAAGTACATGCCATCAAGGTATATTAGCAAACAGTATGTATAAAAATGAAAGGCAAGGGCCTTATTTACACTCTATAATGACAAACGTGGTTTATGAGCATCATTATATAGGTGCCTTCAGAGTGCCTTCAACACTTCACAGTGCATGGACTTTGGACTTACCTCTGGCGGAGGCATCACCCAATAGGCAAGGTACTTTGCATCCACACAGGACTCATCTTTCACATAAGGAGCTGGAATAAACACAGCTTCATTATTATTACTATTATTATTATTTGCACACCCCTTGTACTATACAGAAACATTGAACATGAACACCCTTGGTGAAAGAGATCTCAAGGTGCCCTGCAGGGCCTCTTTAAAGTGGAGAAGAGGCTTGCTTGATCACCTCTTATGGTGCTCTATATTGTGAGGGCCAATGTAGCAGTGCAGCAGCTGACTGAATGAGCCAAAAAAAAAAAAAAAGCGGCGAAATGCCACAATGTGCTGTTTTCATGGGATTAGATCCTGGTCATCACATCATGATAAAGTATTATAGTACCAACCCTAATTGAAACCAACACTGGCTGTAGAAAATTGCTATATTAATTTGAGGGCACTTTGACACTTAAACAAAGTTCTAATGTGCTACACCTTCATTTCGTGCAAAATAATTAAAGTTGAAAATATCTTGTCAGTACTCCCTAAAAAAAAAATATATAGTACTTGTCGATTTTCATGCCTCCAAATTTTGTTTGCACTGCATGCATGTGTTGCACTGCTCCCTTTCTTCTTGCTATTACTTCCTTGTCCTTTTTCAATTTTTTAGGTTAAAAAGCTTACTACGCATAAGTTCTGGTGTCAATGTAGGCGTCATTAGTTGTGAGCAAAAAATCATCATCTTGTCTGTGACCGAAAAATCAAGAAAGATACAAACAAACAAACAAATAAATAAATAAAAAGTTTTGGAATCCGAATGAGGATCGAAAATAGGCCAACTGTGTGGCAAGCAGGCATTCTACCAAGGAGCTACAAGATTTGTTGGAAGTGGCTTTCCACATCCGACATGCTACACGTAACGATCCGGGAAGTAAAAAAAGCTCTAGAAGGAATGCAAAGAGGCGAAGCAGCTGGTGAGGATAAGGTAACAACGAACCTGCTGAAAGATGGCACAGAAATTGTGTTAGAAAAACTAACCACCTTGATGAGTGTCTCTGGATGGGAAGGGTACCAGAATCTTGGAAGAATGCCAACATCACCTTAATCCATAAGAAAGGAGATATCAAGGACTTTAAAAATTACATGCCAATCAGCTTACTGTCTGTTCTCTATGCATCTCTCATAATCATATGGTGGTTTTGGGACGTAAACCCCACATATCGATTGTCTGTTCTCTATAAACTATTTTGCACAAAAATAATAGCTAAGAGAATTACGACAACATTAGAGTTCAATACACCAAAGGACCAAGAAGGATTTGGTATGGACTACTCCACAATAGACCGTATTTATACTATTAATCAGGTAATAGAGAAATGTGCCGAACACAACCAACCCCAATACATAGCTTTCATAGATTAGAAAAAGGCGTTTGACTTTGTCGAGACATCAGCAGTAATGCAGCGCTACGAAATTAAAGCATTGTCAAACCCCATATAAACACACTGGAAGAAATCTACAGTGGAACAGACACCATAGGTCTCCATAAAAAAAGTGACAGAATCCTAATAAAAAAAAGTGAAAGGCAGAAAGGCATGATCTCTCCAATTCTATTCACCGTGTGTTTGCAGTATGTTATGAGGTCCCTAGATTGGGAAGGGTTAGGGATGAGAGTCAATGGAGAGTATCTTAGTAATCTGTGATTCGCTAGTGACATTGTTTTGATGAGTAACTCAGTAGATGAATTACCGCTCATGATTACTAAAGTGGACACAGAAAGCAGAAGAGTTGGTCTGAAAATTAATATGCACAAAGCCAAAGTAATGTGCAACAGTCTCTGCAGCAAAACGGAGAAGCGAGCAAATTGGTACTGATTCATTACGGTATAAATGAACCTTTCTTGTCTTTTTTTGCGCTGCATTTGTGCTGCAATGGATGAGTACCAACTTGTTCGCCTCTCTGTTTTGCTTCACTTTACTCATTATTAACGTGAAAGCTTCTATGTGTGTTAGCAATCCATCTTTGGCCTCATTGGAAAAAAAAAGGTGATACTACTCAAGGAAAGGAGGTAGAACGGTTGGGAGGGGGTGCAGGAGGTGTATTCTTATTTTAGTTTCTTGCCTATTGCTTTGCCCACGATGCGCACGCACGGGATTTAGTCGAGCTTCAAGTTTACATGTTATATATATTTTCGGTTCAAACAATAAAGCTTTCAATTGGGAGTAAGTGCTTGTGGTGTTACCATTTTTTGTCCTCGTCTTTTTTTGCGCTACGCCGTAATGAGTCTCGCCGTAATGAGTCTCGGCATATACGCCGTAATGAGTCTCGGCAGAAAACAGCACTTTGCCATAGGTGGAGAGATGCTGGAAGTTGTAAAGGAATATGTCTACTTAGGACAGGTAGTGATTGCGGAACCAAACCGCGAGAGTCAAATAACTAGAAGGATAAGGATGGACTGGATCACATTCGGCAAGCATTCTCAAATCATGAATGGTAATCTGCCACTAACCCTGAAAAGGAAGGTATATAACAGCTGCACCTTGCCGGTACTTACCTATGGAGCAGAAACCTGGAGCCTTACAAGAGGATTCAGTTTAAATTTAGAACGACAAAGTGAGCGATGGAGAAAAAAATCATAGGTGTAACCTCAAGAGACAAGAAGAGAGCAGAGTGGGTCAGGGAACAAACCAGGGTTAAACATATAACAGTTGAAATCAAGAAGAAGAAATAGTCATGGGATGGGCACGTAGCACGTAGGCAGGGTAACCGCTGGTTATTAGGGACTGGATTACCACAAAAGGCAAAAATGCACGAAGGGGAGACAAAATTAGGTGGGCCAATGAGATTGAAATGTTCGGAGGTGTAACGTGTGTCTTTGAAGTCTTTCGGCCTTTGTGAACGGAACGAAAATATTTCGACGCATTCCAAGCAAAAATGTGCAGTCAAGACGGGTTGATTTCCTGTCAGTAAAACGTGAACAGGGGGTCCAGGACCGGTTCGCGCAAAGAAAATGCACAAACCAAGAAAGGCCATTGTGAGCTCGACTCTATGCAAGGCTTTCAAAGGCAAACAAGGAAGCAGCTGGGCCATTTTCGAGGTCACCGAGGATCTGGAAAGATCGGAAGCAGCGTGGTATTTGCAGTTTGCACTGAAAGCTAAAACCAAAACTGGTTGTGGCTGCACCTTACGAGGAGAAGCGGAGCCCCGGAAATTCGCAGCTAAGCCGCAGCTTCTAGCCAACAACGAGGAATGGAACGTGGGGTTGAAGGAAAGAAAAAAGCACTATCTGCTGCGGGAGCCCGCCTCGACGACGAGGGATTAGTCAACCACTCCTCTTTCACCCTTTCTCCATAGGATCGGCTGAATGGAGTGGCATGTTTTGACGATATGCTGACAGGCCACTACGTTGTCCTACCCGAACAGTCAGGCAAGTTTGACACGTGTACCGGGAGCCGGTTTTTCGAACTTCACCCAACTGCCAGAAGAGTCTTTAAAACCAAGGTCATCTAAGATCATCAGACGTGCGTGAAATCTTGGTGACGTGTGCGAAACGCTGGTGCAGTGCATTTGTGACCATATTTGGACATCGTGTAGATTGTGCCCTCTCCACACGCATTGTGTGGTGTTTTTCCCCTCCTTCATGGGTGGAGCACCTAGGCCATGGAGCGCCGTATTGGCTGAAGCCGCGGCAGATGCGCCCAGGGTTGGCAACACGGCGCTATATAAGCGGAAGACTTTTGTATATTTTAAGTTCTACAGTTCAACAGTTCTCATGTACAGTTCTTGACTTCTCGTGATCACTTGATCACCTCCTTTTCGAATCCTCAGTTACTAACCATGTAAGTAAATTGTTGTCGTTATTACGAGTGCCTCATCTGACTTGTTCGACGATGTGTCCTAGGACGGGGGCCCGCTACCAAACTGAGCCCTGCAGGACCCAGAGTCGCAACAACTGGTGCCAGCGGTGGGATAGCGTCAACCCAGGTTGTCAACCAGCGTCAACTCAGCAGAAAGCACAAGATTGGCGGTTCATGGGAAAGGCCTTCGACCTGCAATGGGCGTAGCCAGGCTGATGATGATGATGATTAACTCATTTTAGCCCAGTTTCGAGCATTAGTAGCCTTATTAATGGCCTGTGTTGATCGCTTAACTATGAGCTTGATCACACCACATAAGATGCACGGATGGACGACAGGCCTAGCCCCTAAAAAACTCTCAGGGGCGGAAGCGGGCTTTAGTCTTTTGGAGCAGCTTTGGGAGTGGGAATAATAAGGTTTTGGAGCAGCTCTGGAGCACCAAAAGGCATGTTTTGGAGCATCAAAATTTAGTGCCGAAGCAGATTTCTTAGGTCACACATAACTCTTACTTACAATTCTGGTTTCTCTGTCCTTTCTTATAACACAAAAAACTTCAGTGGTTTTTACTAAGCATTCAATGCTAATCAAATGACCAGACTTACCCCAAAATGATTATATATATATATATATATATATATATATATATATATATATATATATATATATATATATATATATAATATATGTATGTGTGTGTGTGTGTGTGTGTGTGTGTGTGTGTGTGTGTGTGCATGTATGTATGTATGTATGTATGTGTATGTGTGTGTAAGGGAAAAAAGTGTATACTTAAGGGCTCGTTTTTTCGTGTTTTGACACAATATTAATGAGATCTAACAGAGAATAATGCCAAGGAATGTGTAGGGGAAGTTATTAGACCGATTGTAATGTAAATTGTGAAGAAAGAAAAGTGGGTGAAAAGATAACTTATGGTGAGCAGGAACCAAACCTGTGACCTTCGAATAACGCATTCGATGCTCTACCACTGAGCTACCACAACGGCTATCTCCCTAGCCACATTATTGGGTATATATGTGAATTTAAACATGGGAGTGTCAGTCAGTGCCACCTGTAGCCATGGAGACGAGTGTGGCACACTCTTTACGAGCCTGTTTGGCGTCACGTAGCACATGAACTTATTACAAGCTGGAAGCTGACCAATAGTCTCTCGTATACAACATAACGGCACCAAGTCTGCCAGTACAAGACCCTCGTTAATGAATAAGAGAAGAAGTGTATACTTAAGGGCTCGTATTTTTGTGTTTTGACACAATATTAATGAGATCTAACAGACAATAATGCCAAGGAATGTATATGGGGAGTTGTTAGACCAATTGTAACTGTTAGACCGATTATAAAGTTCACATGCTACGTGACGCCAAACAAGCTCATAAAGAGTGAGCCACACTCGCCTCCATGGCTACAGATAACGCTGACTGACGCTCCCACGTTTAAATTCTCATATAAACCCAATAGAGTGCCTGGGGGATCGCCCCGTGGTAGCTCAGTGGTAGAGCATAGAACGCATTATTCGGAAGTCGCAGGTTCGGTTCCTGCTGATGGCAAGTTATCTTTTCACCCACTTTTCTTTCTTCACAATTTACATTACAATTAGTCTAATACCTTCCCCTATATATTCCTTGGCATTACTGTCTATATATATATATATATATATATATATAATATATATATATATATATATATATATATATATATATATACACACACAGTTATTTTTCACCCACTTTTCTTTCTTTTTATTTACATTACATTGGTTCTAATAATTTCCACGATACACTCCTTGCCATTATTGTCTGTTATACCCCTGTCACACGGGCACCCGCGAAAACCGTTTAACTCCCTCGTCCTTACGACAACGAAGATGCGGTCCGTGTCACACGGCCACCCTTACGCAAACGAGGGAAATGGAACATTTCGCAAAGGACGTTCAACGATCTCCCTTCGCAGCGAAACGAGGTACTCTCGTCTCCAGCAGTCTAGAGGTCAGAAAAAAATTTCGAGCACTAAGTGGCCACAGTGAAAGAATAATACATTTTGGCAATATTAAACGTTCTTTCGTTGTAGTACTCATTCACAACGGGTGTTTGTTTACATATATTTATGCCCGCCAGAGTTCACTTACTCTCAACACAGATGCCCTACACACCGTGCCTCGCGAGTCGGGCCGGCCGGCGCCAGCCGATCAACGTCATTACTAGCGCAATATCGTACCACTTCCTCACGTCGTCCGCAGTGTCACTCATGGCTGAAGAACACAAAATGTGCGCTCACGAGGCAAGGAAGCATAAGAAATTTCGTACCGGGCTTGTACACAGGCAACAAAACAACTAAAAGCACAATGTGGCCAGCGTCACTAGCAGCATCGCTACATTTAGCAAATGTGTTTTTATTTGAAATTACTTTTAATGGTTTGTTAGTCGCATACCTACTTAATAGTGCTTTTTGTAAAAAACCGCATAAAAAGGATTCTCAAAAAGATCAATAGAGATGAAATTAGAATACTTTTCCGAAAATCAAACAGCGCTAGCTGAACCCCTTCGCAGCAACTGTTACAACCTCGTCATTGCCGTGTGACACTGCCACAACTCCTTCTCCGTTGAACCCCCTAGGGGAGATTTACGTTGACGGTGTTCAACGGAGTTTGGTGGTGGCCGTGTGACAGGAATATTAGATCTCATTAATATTGTGTCAAAACACGGAAAAACGAGCCCTTAGATATACACTGCTTTCCTTTATTCATTAACGAGGGTCTTGTACTGGCAGACTTGGTGCCGTTAGGTTGTATATGAGAGACTATTGGTCAGCTGCCCGCTCGTAATAAGTTCACGTGCTACGTGACGCCACACAGGCTCATAAAAGGGTGTTCCACACCCGCCGCCATGGCTACAGATGGCGCTGACTGACACTCCCCATTTAAATTCACATATAAACCCAATAAAGTGGCTGGGGGGATAACCGCCGTGATAGCTTAGTGGTTAGAGCATCAAACGCGTTATTCGCAGGTCATACTACGAAGAAATTTAGGTGGGCTCGCCGCGCCATTGCTAGGCAATTAGGTTTTTTTTTTTATTACGATAGGAACTATATGTACACTTCACGGGTTTTCGTCGTCGCAGCTATGTTCTGCGTAAACTACAAGTTGGTAACATTCCCCACGCACCCTACATTCTACCCGCGCGAAAAATTGCCCAAGCTGGAGTCGTGAGCGCTGCTCAAGCAGATTAAATGAGGGCGCACGCGATAGCATCCCACCGTGTGTTAGACCTGCCGTCGAATGCTCAAGCAGAGATGAAACACGCTGCCCGTCTTGAACAAGCATGAAAACATACGCGGAGGAAAAGGGGGGACCATTGCTCGAGCAGTAGCAGTGAACTTTGATTCGAAGGCCTGGTTGCGATAAGCTGGCACGCGCGTTTTGGCAAGCATCAACGCAGGGCTCTCAGCGGGAAGAGATTGTGCGATAAGAACATTTCTCCCTGGAGCGGCTGTACTTATTCTCTTACACCAGCATTTTGTAGAATGTCACAATGTCGGGTCCAAAAGAGTTAGCTTTCAGCCTTGGTAAAGATACAATAACTAGTTATTGTATCTTTACCTTTCTGTTTTGTTTTCTTCTAGGTTTTTTATTTGCTGTTTTTCAGTGCCTTTGTTTTTGTGTTGTTTGTTTTTGTTTTTCTTACTCATGTTCTGCTCTTTGTGCCATATGGTTTTTATCACATGGTCACTGTCTCCTCTATATATTTTCGTGCTCTGCGCAATAAACTCAGTTGGAAGTTAGCGCTCGTGTCTTTCGTGTCCTTCTTGTCTCTGTGTCGTCGTTTTGTTCTCGCGCTATAACTATCGTCATTATTGCAAGGTTGAACAAGCACTACATAAAATGCCAGCACATCTCAACCATGCTTGCTATGGTCTTGCTCAGACACTTAGCAGCTCATACATGATAAGGCTATCCTGCTGCATCGCATAAAAAATCAAGCTTTGATTGCAGCCAAGCCTGGTTATTCAAGAGTGGATAATATGCTTCCCACTTCACGCTCTATGTGGCAAGATTGGCGACGTAGAGCCCCCTTTTTTTTCCACGTTGTGTGTACAGTTCAACATGAAAAGATAGACATTGCTTCACAGCCAGCACAAGGTTCGTACCAATTTACAAAGTGGAAATTCAAAGATATTTAAGGACCTTCAAGGACGTGTCAAAGTTTTTCAAGAACTCAAAGTGGCATGCAAAGGTGCGATTTTCCTGTATAAAATTGTCAAAAATGACTCATTTTATTGCACTTACAATAAATAAATGGATATCTCAATTATAACAAAAACATCTAGTTTTAATAACATCTCAAGATCACAACAGACAATTAAAACACACAAAAGCGATCGAGATTTTTTCAGCTAGGCTTAAATTTACTCAATTACGTTTAGAACATCCTGTGTAGCGTTATTCAACTTATATAAAGATAAATAAATGTATATCTTAATGATATAACGAGTAGCCTGGATCACTTTGGAAGTCCTAAACGGTTAAAAAAAAAAAGCTCTCAACAAAGTGTACTTTTACAACAGCGGTTATTTCTCCATTGTATGCTCTGTAAAGTTTACCGAACATATTCAACACATTCAGCTTAATGTTATTTTAATTGCACGAAGATAAACAAATATAAAGGAGGCATGAACTTGACATCATGTGCAAGGAGTGCCAGGGGCGGGGTCGCCATTTTACGGGTCCTTGCACCAGCTGCACGCGAAAGAAGCACGTTCTAAAATGCGTGTGTCCCCCCCCCCCCCCCCCCCCCCTCCAGTTTGGAACAATATAGGAAGTTATCTGGAAAGCATGACGCATTGCACTGCAGAGGCTGGAAAGCAATGTGAGAAAAGATTTCGCCTTAGCAAGTCTGTCTCGCTGCTTCAGACCCAGATGCAGCGGCGACATAGGGGGAAGAAAGCATGCCTGTGCAGCCTTAACTGAGCGTTTCAGCGGTTACCTTACATAGGTACGGTGCTGCGCATTGCGCTCAATAAATGTAGCAGTGAAACTGCGAGAACATTTCGATATCACCACTGTGAACACAGCATGTTGAATGCACATTATGTTTTTTTGTGGTTTCTAACACATACATTACTGCTGCGCACAATGACCAGTCATAAACCGGTGGCCCATCATACAGTAGCCTGAAATAATATTAGTAGCCCGAAGCCACACCGAAACCGCAAAGGTTGTCTCAATGAGGCCTCAGTAATGAGAGGCTTGGTGCAGAAGAGTCAGTCATGCCCACCTGTGAAATTAAGCAGTCTCCCGGCAATTTGGACAGCGGAGAGAAGTATGCTGGCCCAACATCTCAGAGGCCGTGCTCCATGCACATCAGTTTTCAAGAACAAAAAGTTTAAGAGCGTTGGGTTGTGCACAAGTAACAACTGTGACAGTCATTACTTCACACTCATCCTATGCATACCTGCGCATTCTTTTCAAGCATCCTTCTTTGTGCTTAAGCAGGACGCTGAAAGTGTCGAGCAGTGATAGTTGCACATTAGAGCTTATCTTGTGTGTTATTTCCATGTGTACTTCGTGCTTATGCGGAGTAAGGCGTGTACAAAGTTGCTTGCTGTTGTTTGTGTAACAACATTGCTATCGCATTCACTGTTTTGCCCTCGCCACAAAACTGACTGATTCGCGTGCGGTTCTGGAAAACAGAACTATGTGTGCCCGCACCCAATTACTGCTCTTCCCATGGCGAGTTCGACAGGTTGAAACACCAATCCACCGTGTTTAGGAGGCTGGAATGTCAATATGAGTGTGCACGGCTCAGTAAACTCAGGGATTTTCAAGGGCCTTGAAAATTTTCTAATTCAAAGGTTTTCGAAAATTTCAAGGACCTGTACGCACCCTGCAGCAGAATAAATGTTTTTCCATACCCAAGCTTTTTATTTATAATGTTTACTAACTACCCGGAGGTAATCAAGAGAGGAGTTCTAGACTTGTTAATTGGCTTCCAATTAGGTCTAATGTTTGGTAACAGACCATTAAGAACAAACAAGGTCCTCAAGGCAGACTTATAGCTGGCCGAGCATGGCAGGCTAAACCTATCTGCTGCAATACCACGACTACCACAATCACCAAATATTCAAGGTGTACTTACAACATATGAGACCAACACATGGTGTGTATGAAGAGTCACTTTCACCCTTCATAGTAATCTGGTAGTCCAGCTGGGAATTGCAGTCGCGTAAACTTGGCTGCGGTGGAGCCTTTGGGTGACTGTGGTACCAACCCACAACAGTAAGATGGCGCTGCTCCAGTGATTCACGAATCTGAGAACAGCCACAATAACGCAATCATGAGAAAGGATTCTATGAATAGCTCGGACTCCATAAAAAAAAAAAAAACAATGAAATGCCTTATGAGCGCTAACTTGTACCTCTTCCTCAATGGCAGGAGCAGCCTCTTTGTCACCGAGTCTTCCTCGACATGGGAAGGCTTGGAGTATGGAAAGGTCTGAATAAATGATAGAGAATACCAGTTTCACATTATACACACAAAAATAAAAACATTTCCTTATGTTTCATGAAAGACACCGTAATACCTTTTCTGTTTTATATAACGCAAAATGCTGGCACCTTATTTTTAACACACGGCACACACATAAAACAGTATTCATACAAAAAAGGGCAATAGCCCAATCAAATCAAGTGCAGAAATTGGAAGGTGAAATTTTAACCACTGAAGATTGTTATTCAAGCCCATGGACAAGCATTCACTCCAAGTAAATGTCCTGTTACACACTACAATAAATGTAAGTTGTAATTGATGTTACAGTGCAGAGAGGTTTCTGGATATAAGGTGCTTGAATATTTGAATTAGGATGAACCAAGTGGAATAACCTGCAGTTATCACAACTAATAAACACATATTCCATTGAACGTGTATCTACTTAATGTTATTGCCATCGTTTGTGTTGGCCAATGCTTCATTTCTTATATTTAGTGTTTGTATTTTGTGTAGTTCAAGCAAATGCGCATGCAGCCTGTCCTTACCACCGTTATATGCTTCGGATGTTATTTTTATTCACATTGTTATTCATATTTCTTCAGCATATTATATCTTTAGTTGTGACCATCATGTTTTTTTCTGATTGCTATTCATGTACAATAAAATCTTGTTAATTTGCAAATCAAAATCAATGGAATGGTGAGAAATCATCAAATTAAGTGGGCTTTCAAATTGACAGATCATACAAAAACTGAGACGTAAGGAACCTGATATTATTCAAAGTATTCAGGGCTGCTTGTTTTGCTGTGCTGGCTAGTTTACGGATCCAATGGCTACGTTTTTCAGCAATACCTGGTCAGAATTTTGCAGCAAACAAGGAGAAACAGTGACCTTGCAGCTGCTGAGAAAAAAAAATTAATTAATAAATGTGGTTAAACTGCAATGCGCGCCTGTAAAAAAGACATCTTCACTGCAACACAGTAATGAGACTTGGGCAGCACGTCACCTGCTCCTCGCTTTGCCAGCACGTCATGATGCGACCGTTCACCCACTCTTTCTGGTAAAATAAAGAATTTAAAAATGGACAGTGTGACAGAACTGGCGATGTGTGTTGTCTGGAAAACATGATCATTGAAGCTTTTCAACCGAGTTTTCGAAGTAGGCGATGCAGGCAAAAACTCCACCACCAGTGCAAGTGTGCAAATTGCTGAAGCAACCGGCACTTGGAGACTCACATACATAGCGCATTCCAACAGACTGTCCTTTATCAGTTTCTTTACATTCCTAGAAAGAATGGGTAAATCATGACATACTGATGTTCCGAGAAGCATGCGACATGCTGCCCGCGCGTCACTACTGTGTTGAAGTGAAGCACGACTTAATTTCCACAGGCACAACATTTCAGCTGATCACGAGACACTTTTTTTACTACATATATATATATATATATATATATATATATATATATATATATATATATATATATATATATATATATATATATAAAATTTAATTTAGCGAGGCTGGGGTGCTTTAGTGACCACTCATTAGTATCGCTACAGTACATTGCCTAGTGGCTCTCGAGGACTGTCAGCTTCCATGGATTTGCACTGAAATCTGGATTGGGAATTGGCAGACTGCACCCAAAGTTTTCAAATTAATCGGACTGGTGCTGACCGCCATTTCAACCTGTCTGCTCAAAGTTACATCGCAAAATACCGAGACAACAGAAATACTTTGAATTAAGCAGGATCCTACAGATATCAAAGAGTGCAGCAAGGGTAATTCTGTCGTTCCAGCTTTCTCAGAACAAAAGTAAAGCAGATTCAAAGTTCCCATCTGAATGGCTGAGAAAAAGTACTTTTCTTATTTCATCCTTTCTAATGATTTATGACTACCCAAAGTAACATTTGACACCCTAATGCACTCTCCCAATAAGCAAGACAAGCTTCTCAGAAAAGTGTAACATTATGAAAAAGCAAAACAGAAAGAAAACAGCAATGAACAAAACATTGGTTGCTGACATGATATAATAGGCTTTCATGGCTAAAATGATCTAGGATGCATGAAAATTGGTAATGTTTTGCATAGGAGCAGAATCAGAAAAGAGCAGTTCATAATTTTTTTTTTTTTAAATTTTGTGTCCCAAAAAGCAGCTTCCTCTTTTAAGGGCCGACTGCAACGAAATCTGACTTGGGCAGAATTGGCTTGGAATGAGTAGTGCATGTTGGGTAAGCAATGATAATCACAGTAAAAAAAGCTTGCAATCGCATATTTCACTCATAATCAGTGCTCATATTGTTAGCTAGCAGACAACGTGGGACCCAAGCGGTGTGCCTGGGCAAATTGGACACAAACGGAAATGATGTCAGCCGCAGCTGCATCCCTTCCTTTTCTGCGTGACGTCCCTTTATGCGTGGCTGATTCAGAAGAATGAACTCTTCTGTATAGTACGAAATGTGGGGCCGTAGGCAGCAGAAACATATGTTGTAAGTAAGACCAGTTTTCACGCTTTTCCAAAAAATCTAATGCTCCAAAACTTGCAGGTAATCGAAGTGAGCAGAAAGGAATGAGAAGTATTGAATAGCGTGGTGCTCTGCACGGTGTACTTCGCAGATGACGAAATAAACACGACTAGTGTCTCAGTACCCGAATATTGTTGAAACAGAAAAATATGTTGAACCTTGAAGCAGTGCCTTCAATATTGAGATGCTGAGAACCCAACTGCGAAAAGCCCCGACCAGCGTTTAGAGAAGTGCCAGCAACAAGAAGTATTCATATTAGGCAGCTTTAGTGCAGCGTAAAATGTGTGTGTTAGTGCATTTCACAAGCTAAGTTATAACGTAATGCTATTCGAAAAACATAAACAGTGAAATTATGCCCTGTAAAGTGCGAGATTAGCTGCGCCATCTAGGCACGAGTAATCAAAGCTCTAAAAGCTGTTCGACTCACTTGTCATAGCGAGTAGTCAAAGCAGCGAAGTTCGACAGAAACGTAGTGATGTTCGGTTCAAAGCAATTTAAGCACGTAAACATATTTTAGAAAAACACATCATGCTTCGTTAAAGACTTTGTTTGACGTAATTTAAATGTTTTAGGTGCAGCCATACAAGTGTTTACTAAAATGCACGAACGTTTTTGGTCAACATGGCATTCCTGCCAACAGAGAAATTCGTAAAACCCCCTAGCGGAGAAGGAGGCGAGGAGGAAAGGAGGGGGGGGGACAGACTTTTTTGTAAATCTGTGGCTGTGATGGATTTGCCTTTAGCAACAACCATAATCATGTTTTGCTGCCATAAGTCAAATCGTTCAGAGAGCAATCAGCAACAACACAATAGGGTAAAAATTTATTTTGTGTAATGATTTTGCTGTTACAGACAGACCTCGCCCACTTAAGAAAGTCCTCCGTGTAAATTTGTTCAAAGCAGGTTATACTTTGGTGCCATTTCACCATCATCAGGCTCTCTAGGGTTTTTTAATCCACAGATGAGCGAGATTTTTTTTTGTTTTTTTTAAGTACTGAATATTCTTTCGCATTAGGCATTACTGTGGGGAATGGAGAGAATGCCCAGCATAACAACTGAAATTTTGTGGAACCTCAGTGAGCCATCAATACTTCGAACAGCTCCCAAATGTGCCCATTGCACATCACACCTGGGCTTATTCAAAATGTCTGCTGGAACATTACATGCTTGCAAGCTCGCAAACTCGACCTCGAGTTCATCAATTGCCTTCTCTCTTGGTTTCAAGCTTTGCTTTGGCAGAAAATCATGCAATGCAGTGATGAAATGACGCACACTGCTCAATGAAGCAGTCTCCAATGAGTGCACTAGGGCAACCTCAGCCATATTGAGGTTGATGTCTTCTAATGAAAACTTGTGACCAATATAATCAAAAGATGCCTTAAAGCACAGACGTACAGCAGAAAAGAACTGTTCTCTCTAACTTGAGTTCAGTGTCTCAACAAAACGGCAGGTCATGCTGCTAATGACGTCTTCGTCTTTTTGGTTCTCTGCAAGTTCATATCAAACTTCAAGTAATTAATCCCATTCTTTCAGGACACTACGCTGCAGAAATCTTGTCAGGAGATCCTCGAGTTGGCGGTTCAAGAGGCCTCTCAGTACCTGAATATGGGGAGCCCGTTCCTGAAGAATGCAGTTTGTTTTCTCAAAAACCGGCACTACATTTTGCAAGAATAGACAGCATGCCCTACTTGGCTCTGATGACAAGAAAACAAACAAGTCCTCTTTATGAGTCACGAGGTTGGTTTGTCTGAATTCTGTGGTCTGAAGCTTCATATTTTTGGCTTCAAATGCACGATGAACACTTTTTCTTTTTAGTGGAACTACATCGGCATCAGCACTTTTTCCGAGGCCTAAAGTAGACTTTGGAGTAGGAGCAGAGTTCTTTAAAGTTTGTTGAGAAGTCAGTGAAATCTGGTACGACTGCAAAAACAGGCTCTTGCTTATTGTACTTCTTTATCTCACAAAAAAAAAAAAAGAGAAATGGCTTCCACTGGTCTAGAAGTCTATTTAAACCATTTCCTAATGAAAGTCAATGGGTCGGAGAATGTTTCAGCATCTTCCTTACCTCGACGTCATGCATTTGCTGAAAATCGGAGTCGATTCCTCTGCTTCACACTTTTTTCAAGGTAAAAAGAAAAATGTCAATCAGAGCTTCATGAACCTTTGAAGGAAGACATGATGCTCCTTTTTCCACGGCCAAGTTTATCAGATACCACGGGCAACCAACCCCAAATCAAGGCTAACTGAACCTCTCGTCAAAGGGACACTAAAGTCAACTATTAAGTCGATGTTGATTGTTGAAATGGCGGTCCAGAAACCTCGTAGTGTTACTTTTGTGCCAAGGAAGGGCATATTTTGAAATAAAATCACGCTTTAGTGGTCCGCATGGGGTTAGCGCGCTTCGAATTACCCGCCTCAAGAAGCTGACCGACCGGACCGTCTCACGTCGCTGTTGCTGTGCACAACGTTGCCCAGCTTTACT